GAGAGGGGTTTGTTCTGAAGGAACTTGATTGCTTGTCTTGATGACAACTTGCTTGTGAGCAACTTGCTTGTTCTTGTAGTAGTCAATCATACTGCCATTTTTGTTTTGGGTTTTCTTTTATCATATTTATTCAATCTGTATGCTTAGCAAATAATCCAAGAAGATAGATTACGTTAAGAAGAATGTGGCATTAGGATTGAAGGAGCAAGACTCATTAATAAATAAGCAGATGATACAACCTTGCTTGCTGAAAACGAAAAGAACTTAAAATACGGATGAGGATCAAAGACCACAACTTTGGATATGGGTTGCACCTCAATGTAAAGAAGACAAAAATTCTCACTACTGGAACAATAAATAACCCACTATGCTGTTGTTGAGTCTTGGTGTGGCGCTGTGGGTTAATATGTTGGACTGCAAAGTCGGTTTGAACTGCAAGGTCGGCGATTCAAGTTCACCAGCTGCTCCTCAGAAAACCTATACAGGGTCGCCATGGGTTGGAACTGACTCATGGTACTTACTGCCACCATCACCAAGCTGTTGTTGGGGTCCTGTTGTGGTACTGTGGGTTAATGCGATGGACTGCAAAGTCGGTTTGATACACAAGGTCGGCAGTTCAAGCTCACCAGCCCCTCCTCAGAAATCCCATACAGTGTCGCTATGGGTCGGAATGGACTCCGAAGCAGCATATCTTACAGTGCCACAACGTCCATGGAGGAGCATTCTCAGGTTCTGTGGGCAGAGTCAGAGTAAAGACCGCGGTGATGAGGCTAAAGGACAACCAAACCCAACCTGTCCACAGCAATCAATTTCGAGTCATAGTGACTCTATAAAATAGAACAGAACTGCCCCATAGCGTTTCCTAGGCTGTAGTATTTAGGGACTATCACACAGCGGCTGAAGGGTTTGAACCGCGGAACTTTAGGTTAGCAGTGGAGCGCTTAACCACTGCACCACCCAGGTTCTATGAAACCTGAGTCTTAGGAAAATCCACTAATATGCATCAGAGGCGTGGCACTAAAGGACTACACTAAGGGAAAGGTCTGTTGCTCAGAGTTGTAAGTGTTGGAAGCGATGCATAAAGAACCTGGGGGTGTGTCTCAAGAGGGGGATCAGAGCCAATGAAAAGCAGCTATGGGCGTGGCGCTGTCAAACTTCGTGGGGACGGAACCGAAGGGACCGGGCCAGAGATGTGGCTCCAACCAGAGCCAGTGAAAAGATTGCGGGAGGGCGGGGCGCAGCCCTAAAGCTAAGGATGGAGCCAATAAGCAGCGCTGCAACCCTGCTATTCCCGCCCCTAAGGGGCGCGCGCCAGAGCCACGGGCAGCCGTTAGGGGCGGGGCCTGCAGCCGCCAGCGCGCGGCTCGCGACCTCCCCTTTGTGTCGCCATGGCGGCGGCTGCAGAGACGAGGACCACGAGCGAGGGATCGAGCTCGGCCGGTACCTGAGGAAGCTACGCGATCATGGTGGTGAGGAGCCCACGCGGCCGTCATCCGTCCATCCGCATGTCA